AACTACATCAAAACTACATCAAAACTAGCAGTTTTGATGTCAAAATGATGTCATTTTGACTACAACGTGTTCCTTGGGGAGCCAAACGATTTTCTTTGGCTGAGAACAGGTCAACGATCGTAATGATCGATATTACACTGTTAGAGGCCTCAACCAATCGTTCGTGGTTCCCTTTTCTGGTCAAGAGAATTAACTCCTTTTACCAAGGGCGGAACCCCGTGCAAATTTTCAAAAGGAGAGGTCTTTGAAAGAGAGAGATCTTTGAGAGAGAGAGGCCTTACAACTAATTTAATTATGAAGGTTTTTGACTTACTACTTGGATATCCTGGAAATATATCTGGATCTTCTTGGGTCGTTCAGTGGTCCGTATTCACGTCGATGTATAATGAATATTGCTCGGAGGTTGGTTTAATATGTTGGAGAAGCAATTGCCGCGCGCGGTACTTCACTCCTCCGCGACGAGTTTTGGATTTCGGGATAAGAAAGGAATTTTATGTTAGTCTAGAAATTCCAGGCGTAAAGCGTGCGGTGGGCCGCACCACGATACGCGGGGATACAGAAATCGATACCACGTGCGGTGGTCCGCACCGAAAATATCGATACTGAGTGCTGATCTGAAGAAACAATTAGGAATAAGGCGGGGGTAGGTTGAATGTGTGAGAAATGGTTTTAGTCGAAATATTGTTTAACAAACAACGTTTACTATAATTATTGATATACAAGCACTTTGAGATACAATCGGTTTTTCTAATATTTTAAGGTATGAACTAAGATCGATTGAGCTGGATTCAGAGATGTTGAGAGAACTATATTAACTGCTTAACTGCTCAACTGCCTAACTGCTCAACTGCCTAACTGCTGCTTTCACGGGTGGGTGTCTTCCTTTTATACTCGAAATTTTGGGTTTGGAAGGGAGACATTCCTTCCGAGGGGTTGTTAATAAAAATAAGATAAAAAGGTTGTTTGAAGATTAATAGATGGATTGCTCGAATGACATGTATATCGTTCCGTCGGCTTTTCTGTCGGCGAAAATTCAAAGTCTACTATCGCGGTCGCGTGTCTTATCTCGACAAATTTTCGATTGAAGGCCTAAAAGATTATTATGGTACATTCGAGATCTTAAATCATTAAAATAATATTCTCGGAACGTTTCTTTGAATTTTCCCGACTGGTCATGAGAAACTTGTGCAAGGGAAAGGTCCGTACAGGACGTAACAATATATAATGTGTAATTTGAAAGTATAGATAGGACTTTACTTACAAATCTTTTTTGAATTTTCTTACAGAATACTATATGCAAATGAGCAAAAAACCATCGTATGCATCACAAGTATTGCGATACCAATGTGAATCCTCTCAATGCCAAGCACGGCTTTTTTTATTCAAATATGGGTTGGGTGATGATGAAGGAACATCCGGAATTTGCTGAGAAAAGCAAGAACATACGTATAGAACACTGTCACCTCTGAAGTCACTTCATAATTTTCTCTATTCTTACAAAAAGTATGCAATGTGCAATTTCCGTTTCACTATTAATTATTTCTATTGCTGACCTCAATATACATATATTCTTGCACGATCACTCATCGTAGCGCACAGTGCGTACGATGAGAAATGACAATTTTTAAATGCAGCTGCTTAATACTTAAACTTTAATTTTAATACACGTGAACAAAAAATCATGAGTCATGCAAAATTGATGAAATTGCGTTACAACGTACATATTTTCTCATGGTTATTTCATCTGTTTATATGCCCATGTTAAATTTCTTACAATATTAATTTTTATTTAGCTAAGAAAGAGAGTAAATCATCGCAATGAATTACCTCATAGACTATTCGAATTGTAGATAAGATAGTTCAAACTTTTTTGTTTCAAAGCAATAATCTGATATATGTAAATATTAATATGAAAATTGTACAATACCCTTTATCACGCAATCGAGTTTCTGCGGTAAAAGAAGTCCAATGCCAATATGCGAAGTTCTATGTTTAAAATTTTTTATCATCCACGCACTTCCGCGAATTCTTCCGGTACTTCAACTTTACCTTCATTTTTGAAGAAGACTATGAAAGAAGAATATTAATGTTGATGGTAAATAGTGATTGTAAAAAGTATTATGATGTATGGAGTAGAAGTATGGGGATATCAAGAGAGGATAGAGGTAGAAGCAGTGCAAGAAAGATATATCAGAGGAGCGCTAGGACTGGGCAAATGTACGCCGGGATACCTAATAAGAGAAGAAACAAAGACAGAAAAAAATAAGCTTGGAAACAGGAGTAAGAGTAAGGCACTAGATATGTAGGTATTCTCATCCGCCATTTTGGTTCCTATTAGATGGAGAATTATAGCGTATACAGGGTGACACTTAAAGACTGCCCACTAAGTACATAGCGTTATTCCTTGCCAAAAAATGAGTCGAAAAAAGTCCTGAATCATTTTTAATAATTGACGTGTTACACATGTACGCTATACTATACTATATACGCTATAATTCTCCATCTAGTAGGAACCAAAATGGCGGATGAGAATACCTACATATCTAGTGCCTTAGTAAGAGTGCTGAAATATGAAAAAAAAATGAAGAAGGAGATATCATATCAAAGAGTGCAAATGAGAAATGGATAGAAACGGCTGGTCCAATACTATAAATGGCGCAGAAAAGAATTATATGCAAAGACTGGAAGATGACAGATGAAAGATAGAAGCAATGGACGATACAGGAAAGAATGTTGTTAAAGAATGGAGAAAGGAAAATGAAAAAGAAATGATAAAACAAGAAAAGAAATTTTACGAAAATCAGAATATGCAAAAGAATATGACAGATGAATTCAAGAGGAAATGCTTACAAGAGAAAGGAAAAACCAAAAGGTTTAAGACAACAACAAAATTCAGAACAGGAAATGAATGGAAAACGAGCAGATACTAAATGGAAAAAGACCAAAAACTGTGCAGAATATGTGAACGAGGAGAAGAAACCGGAGAATATGTGATGACGATCTGTGAAGTTACGAGGGAAGACAAACCCATGAAAATCATAACAATCATATCAAAAATACCTTTTTTAAAAAGGTAAAAAAAGGCGCCAAGTACACGTTCTTGTCACAACTAAAACAAAACAGTATTGTTTTACTTTTCAAAAAAATTGTCGTATATATTAAACCTTTCAAAAAACCTGTCAAAATTTTAAAAATTAAAATTTTTAAATTTTATTAAAATTTTCAAAAAAGCTATCCTATATACTTGTTCGTGTCGAATTCGCGCGTATGCTAGCGGCGATGCAGACACAGATTACCGGAACCGTTTTTCACGAAAAACGCGCAGCAAACGGAGTCGCGGGTGGAATCCCTTTTTGAATTGAAGCTGAAAGTCTTTATGCGAATTATTATCTCGACAAATCGTTCAACTCGTGCGACCGTTTCTCATACGTAGCAGCAAGGCCAGAAAATATTATTCAGCCGATCAAAGCACAGTCGAAAAACAAAGCTTATAAACACGAGCGAGTTGAAGATAAAAATGTACTGGTGTTCGAACTTACGGAGAAATAAAGCAACTGTCTATTTTTTAGTAAACCAGGCAATAACATTTAATTAACACAAATTTTAACAATTAAATGAACAAATTCCAACGAAAGTAATTGACGTTAATTCGCACTCGGATTCGTGAAATCGCGGAGAGCGGTTCGACAATTTAGTCTCAAGATTTTCAGATGCGTTTTAGAAGGAATTAATAATCTGAACGTTTCGACTGTTTAAGAACAAGTGAAGCTTTCAAAACGATCTCTCGCGATCGACGGCGATCGATCTCATCGAGCGACGAAATTCGGCGTCGCGACTTGCGCATTAGAGTTTGCGGCGGTTGTCGAGACGCCGAATTTCGAGTGATCGCTTAGCTTGTGTAGCGGAGCTTTATGTCGTAGCGGTTTTCTTCATTTAAACTATTGGCGTTTATTTACGAAGATCTTGCATTTATATTGATCTTAAACATACCGCCCGCCTTGGAATGGCAATTCCGAAATATGATCGAACTCTCGAACTAGTGAAAACGCTCGACAACGAAGCTCCAGCCGTAATACCGTCGCGAATGCGAAATTGATGACTGGTGAAATTCGAGTAAACACAGAATCAAATTCGATGATAAATTCTTGTGAGTTTCTTGGCGTGGGGGTTTTTTTTTTTTTTACACCGATGGAGTGTTCGTTGGCTCGCTATCGAGAGGTAATAAACATAATTTTGTGATTGGGCGCTTGAATTCGGACGACGCTGTTTTTATTGACACGACGCGAGGTAATGCATCTGAACCAGAGTGTAATTGCGTAATGCGCCCGAGCTCCCATTTGCAGGGAGGCAAATCTGGCTTGCGCAAGAGAACCATCTGACCGACCTTTATTATTTCTTGTTTGCGCTTCCATTTGACTCGTTGCTGGAGTGTGTTGACATATTCGTTTTGCCAGAGTTTCCAGAATTTTTCGGTCATTAATCGCACGCGTTGCCATCGTGACAACCGACTTTCCTTCAGATTGAGCAACGATGGTTCAGGAGTCGTTGTGATAGCAGAACCGATTAGGAAATGGCCCGGAGTCAAGGGTTCGTAATCGTCGAGATGGTCGCTTAGCGGCGCTATAGGTCGCGAATTCAAGCACGCCTCTATTCGACAAAGAAGCGTCGTGAATTCCTCGAATGTGAGCGTCTCGTTTTTGACTAGGCGGCGGAGATGATGTTTCACACTTTTTACACCAGCCTCCCACAGTCCGCCGAAATGCGGCGCAGATGGGGGAATAAAATTCCAGCTTACACTGTCAGTCGCGATTTTATTTTGAAAATTGCTCTCGGTGAGAGCGGCCCGATATGCGGACGCGAGCTCTCTGTCAGCGCCTAAGAATGTAGTTCCGTTATCGGAATACATTGACT